GGACTATATCCGATCGTATCTTAGTGATAGTCACCAATGTGTAACAGTCAATGATATAACCTCTCCCACTCTACCAATAACCGTAAGAGTGCCACAGGGCAGGATCTTGGGACCTCTCCTATTTCTTATATACATCAATGATCTGCTTAATGTCTCTAACATTCTTAAACCTATATTGTTTGCTGATGATACTACCCTCATCTACTCAGACCCCATCCCACACGCATTAAATAATGTTTTGAATAATGAATTTAAAAAGTTCACTTATGGATGTCAACCAACAAACTCACACTAAACATAGAAAATACCCAATACATCTTATTTTGAAGCAGATCAACAAATGCAATTCAGCTTCAGATAGACAATGTTAACATCAGTAATAAAAATTATGGAAAGTTTCTGGGCCTATTCCTAGACAAGAGATTCAACTTCAGCACCCACATACAACACGTAACTAAGAAAGTCTCTAAAACAGTTGGTATGCTCTCCAAAATCAGATATTATGTACCTAACTCTGCTCTCCTCTCACTATATTATGCATTAATCTATCGCTATCTTAATTATGGTATCTGTGCATGGGGTCAACCACTGCAAACCACCTCAAGTCCATCATCACCCAGCAGAAATCTGCTATCAGAATAATAACAAACTCTGCTTTCAGACAACACTCAGCCCCATTGTTTAAATCCCTAAACATGCTAAACATAAACTCACCCCACACATTCTCTTGTTTCAATTACATTTACAAAACCATGTTTTTAAATGCAAACCCTGCTCTGAAATTCTCCCTGGTCAGATGTAATAGGACCCATTATCACCACACACCAGAAATAAATATCTCTTTGATATCCCCAGAGTCAAACTTAATCTGTATAAACACTCTATGCAAATAAAGGGACCTACTCAATGGAATTCACTCCCTAATGAATTGAAAAGCTGTCCAACTTTTGCGTCATTCAAAAACAACACCAAAAGGTACCTAATTTCGCCTTCATAGTTTCTTATCTTGTGCTTTAAACTTGCACTGTATCTAGTGCTACCCAATCCCCCAATATTTTTGTACCTAAGCCAAACAACTTTACCATTGTGATCACTACTGTCGTCTTATATGTGCTATCAATATGCTGCATTGTGACTATTAATCTTTGTTAAATTATCAATCAAGCTGTCAATGCTATCAATCAGAGCTATCGATGTGCTTTAATATACCTACTAATCTCTCATTTTTATTCTTGCAATGTACCTGTTAACATTTTATATTTTTTGCTAGAATTTACCTACTTAACATTATCTGTTAGATTAAGGACATGCCCGAAACGCTGCTCGTACTAGTGGCTTTACAAGAATGTAAACGCCATGCTATGTACCCTCACAAACCCAATGTACCTTCTTGAATATGTATAAATAAATAAATAAATAAAAATAAGTAAATAAATGTATTGATCCTCTCTGGAGTTGTATCACAGGTTGAACTGGAACCCTTGACTCTTGTTTATGTTATATGTCAGATAACCTTGAAACAAATAAAAACAAGAATCAAGATGATCCAAGAGGGTGAAGAAATGGTAAAGAGAATGGCAATGGTGGACAGTAGTAACACACTTAAAAATTATTCAATGATAAATACAAATTCGTCCTTCACCTATGGTAGAGGAAAATCTACTTAGAAGGATTCAATTTACATGAGATTAAGACTAGGATACAAATATATCTGGCAATACGGTGTTGATGTCAGTAAAAAAGATAAGGAGTGTAAATTATGTAGTATGCCGCACACCCACACCTTAGAACATTATGTATTAGAGTGTCAACTTATTGATAAATATAGAAATAAGGAAATAAGTAGTGTACCACATCAATTTGTTTGGATGTGTGATAATGGTATGATAGACAGTATACTTAGGAGCTACAAGAATTTTGCCCCAAGAGTGTAACACTTATATGCAGTGCTTAACATTTAACCTGCAATGTTAAATGGGATTCTTGTGTTGTGATTTGTGTATTTGTACTCACTGAATTTGTGCGCCCCTTGAGGGACTTGAAGTAAAGGGAGGTAGAAATAGCCTAAGCTACTCTATCCCTTTGAGATGTATTTTTTCTTGTCTCAATAAACATACTTTGAACTTGAACTTAAACCCTTGACATGTTGTGTTCTTTGCCACAACTAATCACTGCTAATTTATATTAATAATTTAGAGAAAAGATTACACGTTGAGAGTCGCTGTACTTATCTAAGTGGAGGCAATAGTTTTAACGTTTAAAATTGCCTTGTAGTGATACAAGTTTAAACACTTCCGAATAATGATAAATGTTCATAAGTTGCTGAGTAGACCTGGTGGTAAAGGCTTAAACGTTATCGTGTAGGGATAAACGTTCAAGTATTATTATGTTATGATAAACGTTCAAGTATTATTATGTTATGATAAACGTTCAAGTATTATTATGTTATGATAAACGTTCAAGTATTATTATGTTATGATAAACGTTCGAAGATTACCATGTTGTGATAAACGTTCAAGTATTGCCAGGTTATGATAAACGTTCAAGTATTGCCATGTTATGATAAACGTTCATATGTTACTGTGAAAGTCTGTTAGTAAACGTTCAAACGTTTCCGTGTAGCAATAAACGTTCATATGTTACTGTGAAGGCCTGTTAGTAAACGTTCAAACGTTACCATGTAGCGATAAACGTTCATATATAAATGTTTTACCATGTTATGATTGTTCAAATATTACAGTGTTGTCATAAACGTTCAAACATTACCTTGATGAGATAAATCTTGAAATATTACCTTGTTGTGATAGACGTTGAAACATTACCTTGTTGTGATAAATGTTGAAACATTACCATTTTTGAGATAACCATTCAAACATTACCGTTTTGCCATTAAAGTTCAAAACTTATTGCATATGACATTGAAGACAATCTTTCTTGCATTAATTTCAAGTGACAACGAACGTTCCAATAATACTGTAACGCGAGATGTTTTCCAATTATTATTGTTATTATTATTATTTAATTAATTATATTTTGTTATTACTAGTTGTGCGAGTGTTGACGATATAATCTTACTTCATCAGGTGCTTCCGCATTCCTAACTTGGAAATTTGTTGTGTTGCGGCGCTGTGAATGTGTTCTAGCACAGAAAACTCTCGTTATGACAACACTTCTATTTATGCATTATCTTTTCAGTCTTAACTAGCTCTTTAAATACATTTTGTATGTAGATTTTTAACAATTAATAACATAAACAGATGAAATATTAACATAAAAGAAGAAATGGGTATATTTCGCCTTACATTAAAAAAAAATACATGCAGAGATGCTCAGTTACTTGACACCGTATTGTTGACCCTGATGCTGGTGTTGATCTAGAGGTCACGATGACATTGATGCTCTTAAGTACCCGGACGTTCCATTTTTTGTTATCAAACTTAGGCATACACTGCAATGTGCTGCTGCTCTATTATATATGAAGGATTGCAGAGTATAGATCAAAGGCTAGCTGTGAGTTCATCTAGTATTCCCATCTCACAGGGTGGTTAAAATCATACATGAAATCAGGAGAGAACATGAAATGCGAGTCTACTCTGCTAGCCTACACTAGTAAAATCTACTAGCTACTCTAGTGCAGGCTACTTTACAAGCCTGCACTAGCAAAATCTACTAGCTACTCTAGTGCAGACTACTCTACTAGCCTGCTCTAGTAAAATCTAGCATTGATTAGAGACCTGGTTGAAACCGATAAGAGTGTCGTGTTCCAGAGAAAACTAGAAGGGTAAGGCTTAGATGAGATAAAGGAAGGGATAAAGAAGAAGAGATAAAGAGATCTTTATCTCTTAGAAGAGATAAAGATCTAAGCTGCTAAGAAGTCAGAAGTCATCTGCTCCTATACCTATCTCTCAACCCTGAAACTCAGTCAGAACAGATGACACAAATAATCACTACACGGTTGCATGTAGATATTATTTTGATTTGACCATTTGAGACAGTCTCCATCCTACCCATATAGTTGCTTTTTTAGATCTATCTTGAGGTTATCTTGAGATGATTTCGGGGCTCTAGTGTCCCCGCGGCCCGGTCCTCGACCAGGCCTCCACCCCCAGGAAGCAGCCCGTGACAGCTGACTAACACCCAGGTACCTATTTTACTGCTAGGTAACAGGGGCATAGGGTGAAAGAAACTTTGCCCAGTGTTTCTCGCCGGCGCCTGGGATCGAACCCAGGACCACAGGATCACAAGTCCCGCGTGCTGTCCGCTCGGCCGACCGGCTCCCTCAAAGATTTGGAGATTTGGACACCCAACCCACACATCTGAAAATATAGGAAGTGATGTCACTTCTTTTATTTGCAGGTGTGGGTTAGGTGTGTAATTTTCAGCTACGTTATTGTGAGTCACTGTCTGATTCTGAGATTTGTTTACGCTGAGTGGCGATAGTACGGAAATTTTGTCTGGGATTTTTGAGATTACATTATATTCATGTGGTCACCTTATCTAGTGTTGTCAACGGAGACATATGGTGCTAACATCACTAAATTTATTCTATGGGAGAATTTCTGTCTTCAGCAAGACGACTTAGCAAGCTGTAAGTTAGTCTCTTGTTTATGTAGCACTTGAAGGAACGAGGGAAGTTTAATTTTCTTATCCATTTTTAGTGTTGTAGAAATATTGATAAGATCCCTCTTAGTGTGTATTATACAGAGTTGCTAATTTTGTGCCTTTAGACTATTTTGGGCTTGAAAGATGATATTTGCCTGGGATGGTTTTAGTCACTACTTTAGTGATGCTAAATCAGCTTGAAGGTGTTCATAGAGTGGTATAGGAACGTAGGAGTCCAATAAAAGCAAAACTGATAAATGAGGACCAATAAGAGATTCTTTGCTCTAACTTAATATAATGAAACAATTAATTTAATGAGCATTTATCAACTATTGGTGACGATAGGATATAAAAGCACAATATTTTTGCAAGAGTAAGATTGCTTCTCCCTTCTTCAG